CCTTTCTTTTGGCGCAACACCAACCCCGAAACCAAAAAGAAACTGTCGTTCAATTGGTACTTGGTTAAAGTAACCAGTTCCGTCAAACGGATAGGCTTCCACCCATCTTCCCCATGAGATTTGCCAAAAGTTGAGTTTCTTTTTCTCATATTTATTCTGACCCATTTAATTGATTTCTGCGAAAAAAATCTCGATAATCCAAGCCACAGCCCGATTGATGTCATCATGAGTTGAGTGAACATTTCTTTGATATCACAAGTGCGAGCCATCACACTCGTACCTATGGTCTTGTTAATTTTCATAATTTCATTCTTCAAATCTCCAAGGGCCCCTAAGTTAAAATGGGGCACTTTCAGTCTTTCACCTGACGAATGCGTTCATTCAGGGCAACTGACAACACGTCTGAGGCCTTTAAATTTGTAAGAAGGAACGATTAGGCGTCGTTTCATCTTGTCTTTTTCCTTTGGCATGATGTAAGCGTGTTGGAGGTCACCCTCTCCATCCCATCTAGCCAGCCACACTTAGTTCAATCCTGCTAGATGGTAGTTCATCAACATTCCCTCCACAACTTTCTCTTGTCTGAGGGCACACTCACACTACCACGTATTTTCGCAAAATCGCAAATTTTATGCAGTTTTTCGGGTCACAAGAGGCACGTATTTTGCGTGTTCACACAGAAGGGCACGTAAATGTCAACGGCCTGGACAGCCGCGGGCTTACATATTTTGTGGGGACCTCTAGAAAATCGTATTTCTTTTTCCTCTACTGCTTTCTGAAAGCAAAAAAAAAAAAAAAAAAGTGCATTGTGTTGTCTGACTGCAGACAACGTATTTTCGCATCTCAAGGCCAGGTCGCGACCATGTCTTTTCTGCTTTGGGCAACAAACGGGTGACCAGTGTGACCTGCAGGTGCCATATAAACGCAAATTCACATACGTAAAATTTGCGGAAGTACGTGCTAGTGTGAGTATGCCCTAACATCCATGGCTTCATAATTGTCATTTTTCAAAACATTTTATTTAAACCTTCTTCAAACAACTTGTGACATTCAATCCAAGTTTCACTGGTGGGAGACAAAACCAATCCAGCAAAAGCTTGCTTTATACCAATGACGTACTCACTGAGTACGCAATCAGATTGTAGTACTTCACCCCTTCTCACAACCAATCGGTGGTTGATTTCCACCTTTTTTTTTTCTTTTTTTTTTAATGGGACAAATGCTCCAGAGTATGAGTATTCATGGGGAGCAGCACGTGCTGGGAACTGGGCCTAGCGTCTCATATAGAATTATACAAGTCATTTGAAATACCAGGGCCATTACTTGGCTTTGGCTATTAAGAACAATCTTCTGAGAACTATTAAAGGAGTTCAGGAAAATTTAGGAAAAACATGGATAACTGCTGACCAATTGCTAGGCTACTTTGTCTATTCAAGTTGACGACACTTTGGATTTCGACTG